CAGGCTGGGAGGTGGGTGGGCATCCCGCAGCATTTTTCGAGAGGCACAGGCACCCTGGGAGCAAATCCCCACATTTCTACATGGGCACCTCCTAACTTCTCTAAGCCTTACACTGTGTTCACTGTGGGTCTTGATGCTACCTGCCAGAGTGACGGGAACATTAAATGAAAGAGAAGCTGTGCACATTATGTCCATCACTTAATTTATGCAGGCGGTTATGGTGGGCTCCCTCTAACAGCTAATAATTTGCCACTCTGAGCCCACAAATAATCCATTTGTCCTTTTCTCACCTCCACCTCCCTCCAGATTCCCTCACTATCTAGCTACTTCCTTGAGGCCTGAGAGTCAAGAGACCTGAAAAATGCTTCAGGGCATGCATTTTAGAATCAGATCTACCTGCTTTCAATCTGGAATCTGCCACCCTCTCACCTTGATCAAATACGCATTTATCGTATTTGAAAACTGGAGATAAGGATACCTATCTTATAAGTTTATTGGTGCAAGGGTTACATTACATGAGCTATCACAAGGTATAGCCTTAGCACAATATCAGGTTCAAAGAAGTTTAGCAAATAATAGAGTAATGATACATAATTATACTTATTGCCATTAGTCCCAGCTGGACACCAGCTTGCTTTGAGGTCTGGCATATGGGTGGCATATTCCCCTAGTTCCTGTCACTGATGCCAGTTTCCCTTATTTTTAGTTCCATTGGTCATGTCTAGAGAATGTTGGAAGGAGGATATTAGCAAACTGAGTCCTTACTATCATTTTGCCCTGAAGTTTTCCTTTATGTGTTTAGGCTGATTTCTGTTGGTATAAGGAAATAAATTGATTTCTTACCTTAAATTAAGCCAGTTTATGGAGTACTAATTCAAGCAGTTCTAGTTCTACTGGATTTTCTAAGAAAGCAGTTGAATTTTCCACTGTCAGCAATATTTTGTCTCCTTCATAATACCTCTTCTTTTCATTTGTGCTTCGTAATGTCATTGCCTTGATCAGACCATAGATAATTAATAGTGGTGATGGTAGCATCTTTACCTCATTCCTGGCTTAATAAAGAAAGTCTTTGTCCTTTTTTTTAGTATGAACATGTAAAATATTTGTTTAAGATAAAAGTAGTTATCTTGTTAAGAAAATTCCCTTTATTTCTACCTCTTAGAGTTTGTTGTTGTTTTTAAGTCTGGGGTGGCTATTTAATTTCACCAAATAATAGTTTTAGTATTTATTGAAATGATAAGTTTCCATTTTTGTTTCTTTTACCTTATGATTGAAATGATGGCTAGAGGTTTTCTGGAACTCCACTGGGGAAAGAATAGCTAACCAACAATTTATTTTATGTTCATATTAGTGGCTAAAGGATGAGCTATGCAATAAAGAGCATTAGGATATTTAGATGTCCATTTGGGATAAACATTTAAGTTTGAATCTTTCCTTGCAACCACATAAAAAGTCTAGATGGATTAGAGATTATGCCTTTTTTAAAAAAAAGAACTTTAAACTATTTGAAGAAAATATTGAATACATTTTTATGTATTCATAAACAAGTTGTAAAAGTTAGACGCTATAAAAGAAAATATTGGGAGATTTGGCTACCTATTTAAATATCTAAAACTTCTGTATGATGAAAGACACCACAAAGAAAGTTGAAGACAATGGGAGAATAGAAGAAAACTTTGTCAACATATATAACAGACACTGAATCAATAATCAGAATATGTAAAGAAAAAGGGAAAAAGAAAAAAGTATTTGAATAGACAAATAAAGCTCAACTTCACTCATAATAAATAGTATGTAAAAAAAAACAACAAGGTAACATTTTCATGATCAAATCGTTAAAATGTTAAGATAGATATCCAGTGTTGGAGAATGTACAAGGCTGCTAGATCTACAACTTCAGGTCTCTCTTCTAGGGAAATATTTTATGTAAATGGTGCCCCCTGTAGCACAACTCCAACACAGAATTGGTTTAACTAGGGGCCCCTTGGAGTAGGGCTCTGAGCGGCAGGCCCCTCATTCCGACTTTGTAGGAGTTTGGGGCACATCTAGCAAAATATAAAAGGCCCTCTGACTCAAAGATTTCTCTTCCAGGAATCTAGCCTTTCAGAAATCCATAAGTATGTAATATGTACATAAAGATACATGCAAAAAGATGTTCACTGAAGCATGCTTTATATCAGGGAGGAAAAAAGGAAACAAACTACATACCCATCAGTAGTGGATTGTCTGGACAAATAATGGTCCATCCGTTCATGAGATATTTTGAAAATTTTCAAAGGAATGAAGTAAATTTATGTGTACTAATAGAATGATCTCCCAGATTTGATGTTATGAGTGAGATGAACATGAGCATGAAAGCAAATCCCCCAAATACCTATTATTCAATCCCATGTACACACATTTGTTTCTGAATGTATACTATATAGTTAGGGAATGCACAGACAAGGAACTGAAGAGACCACCAAACCAAGGGGGCTGGACTGGAATCGCTGGGTAGGGGGGAGTTAGTGACGGGGAGGAGTTTCTTGTTTTCTTTCCTCTGTCTGCTTTCTTACTTTGTGACTCTACCACAACAAGAAAGTATTATATGTGTGTTGTTTTTACTGCAAATTCAAAATATTAGGTAACCCACTGGTTCTGAGCTGCAAGAATCCCTGTGGATTTGGCTGTTCTTTGTCAAAGTCCCACCTGACTAACCTACTGAGGAATGTCCTACTACCAAGTGTGAGAAATTCTTGGCATTCTTGAAATAAATCCTTCCTCTGAACTAGTTCATCTGGGCATCCTAATCCCCATGAGAGAGTCTTAAAAATTTGATGCAAGTCTCTGTCCAAGATCTGCCGACTCAGAACCGGGATTTCTGTGCCTTAGACTATTACCTGGAGGAGGAAGTGAGAAGGGAGGATTTCTGGTTACTGTATTGGACAACTGCACAGCCACAATTGGTAACAGGAAAGGCAGAGAGGCAACCTTGGTCTGCGAGGGCTCCAGTTAACCCTGATGGGGGCCCTTGCTGGATGAAGACATTCTCCAGAGCTTGGTGATGAAGGCGCTCTACTCGCAGTCAGGTGATCCACTCAAGGCTCTGCAGTGCAGATGTGAGGGCTACTGCAGCTTTTGCTTTTGTTTTCATGAAAACTTAACTTGTTTTTTGCACTTGTTGGGTGGGTATGTCCGGTGAATAAGGGTTCGACTATTAGGTTCTAAGCTGGAGGGATGTGGATTTGAAGTTCACTGAAAAACCCACCCAGCTCTTACGCTGGGCTTGCTTAGAATGAAGAAAGACAACCGGGGTCTCAGGGATGCGGTTTATATTATTACCTAAGAACCAGCCTAAGAGGCAGCAGAACTGGATTCAAATGTGACTCTACTATACCAACTGGTGATGATCAGCAAGGTTCTTAACAGCTCTGAGCCTCAGTTTCTTGATTTGCAGAATGGACATAATGATGTGTCCCTCATACAGTTGATCAGAGAGGGGGTTACACAGAGGTAAACTGATCAAAGCTTAGCTACTGTTTATTAATATTATGGTGGATAATAGACTGTGAACTCCTTGAGGGCAGACATATGTGAATATGGGCATTGCTTCGTTTCCTCCCTCCCCGACAGTCTACCTAACACTGTCTAAAACAGAGGTTAAGTGTTTGCCTAACACCCTGATTCTCATTCTCGTTCTCATTCTATTAGGGTCCTGGGCATTTCATTGTTGTTAAGCCATTTTGTTGTACAAGACTGTACGTCATAAATAGCAAAGCAAAATAATTCTTGTCTATAGGTATGCAAATTATTCTTGTTGTATTATAGGTTCAAATAATTCTCCCTCTCACTGTGTGAAAGAAGCTAGTTTTACCTCTATTTGCACATTCACGTCAATAGTCCAAGTCCGTGTCTGTCCTTCGATCTGGTTGTCACCTCTTACTGATCCCCTCATTAATAATGAGTTAAATAAAATCTTCAGCACATGCTCATTTTACATCTGTATGAAAGTCATGATTTTACCTTTTTTTGAAAAATACCTTCCAATATTATTATAACACCTTTAGCAGACCAGAACTTTTCTATAGAAGGCAGATACCACTCCTCAAGGCCAGACACTGTCTCGTGTAATTAGAGTTAAGTACATACTTATTTGTATGGGGACAGAGAAAAGCTTTCACACTCCGTGCAGTCAGGGGTTCAAGTGCCATAGCTGTGGGTGACACGGAGGAAGGCACTGCTCTCTTAAGCTTCAGTCGGCAGGTCTGTAAAATGGGCTCATAACGGGGAACTCGAGGGAGGCCCCTTCCCAGGCAGGCGCCCAAGGCTGGCATGTCCGCCCTCCGCCCGCGGGGTCTCGGCTCCGCGCGGGGTGTGGAGGGGCCTCTGGAGGGGGCGGGTTCGCTCGAGCCAGAAAGCCCGGAGCCGCCCAGGAATTTTGGCTGGGACTGCGAGCATTTCCTCCCGGGCGGACCGGCGCGATCCCGGGGAGGGCCGCGGCGGGCGGACGGCACCATGCGGCCCCTGCTCTGCGCGCTGGCCGGGCTCGCCCTACTCCGCGCCGCGGGCGCCGACGCCGGTGAGTGGGGCCCGGGCGGGCAGGCTCAAGGGAGAGCATGGCGAGGTGGGAAAGAGCGACAGACATGGAGGAGGGAGGGAGATGGAAACAGAGCCAGATAGAGAGAGAGAAAACAGGGAGAGAAAGAAAAAGGCAGAAAAATAAACGCAGAGGGACAGAGAAGATTGGAGAGAGGAGAGAAGGAAGAATAAAAGAAAGGTAGAGGCAAGGGCAGAGAGACTTTGGAGATAAACAGATGGGTGTGAACTATGAAAGGAGATAGAAAGAAAAACGAATTTGAGAAGCAAAAGGAACAAGAGGGAAAGAAATAGAGGAACTAGCATGTGTGTGTGTGTGTGTGTGTGTGTGTGTGTGTGTGTGTGTGTGTGTGTGAGAGAGAGAGAGAGAGAGAGAGAGGAGAGAGAGAGAATTGAGGAAAACAGAAAGATTTGAGACCAAAAGGAAGGAAGAGAGTGTTGAAACCCGATTATTGAAGGGGAGAGATGAGGAGACATCACTGGGTGGGAGGTGGAGTCTGCAGGGTGGGGCAGCCCCCACCCCACCCGCCGTGCTCCCTGCAGAGGGCTGACAGAGGCGCCCAGGCCTCCTTGGACCAGCACAGCCAGTCAAGGGCCAGGCAGGTGGCCCCAGGATAAAGGCCACTGCTTCACTTGTCAGGTGGCCTGAGGGGGCTCTGCAGTTGGGGTGAGGAGGCCAGTCTCCAGGCTTCCAGAGTTCCCCAAGGGCCTGAGCTGCCTTGCGGGGAGACTGAAGGGGTTCAAGAGAAAGAGGCCCTCTGGGTGCCGTGCTGGCTGGGTTCTTTGCCTTGTACCATCTCCTCTCCTCTCCTCTCCTCTGCCAGCAGTCTTAGCGCTCAGGTGAGGCAAGCGTACTTACTGTACACAGAGATGCTCGCTCCTCCACCTAAGACTCTGCATATTGTACAATACTTGAACGTTTACAAGCCACGTTCCCATTTACCCAGCATCTCACACAGACCTCTGCCAGAGGCAGCTGGCGCTCATCCTAGTTGTTCAGGTGAGGGGATGGCTCGGGGCTCACAGTGGTGCCAAGGCAGCATCCAGGCCTCCTGCCCCTCAGTCAGGCCCCTGTCCCCAGGCCAGGCTGCTCCCCCATCAGCCTGGAACCAGTGGATATTGAGTCACCCAGGCAAAGTGCCTTGCTTTAGGATGGAAGCGCCCCCACCCCCTCCCGCCGCACGTCTACCTCAGGGTACAATGAACTGTGGGAGTGAGCCCAGGGAAAGGAGGAGGCCAGTCCTGATCCCGAGCAGCCTCTGGCTGAGTAACCTTGGGTAAGTTGCTTCACCTCTCTGAGTCTGTTTCCTCCTCTGTAAGTTGGGGAGAATGATATACCCACCCCACAGATCTGTCTGCAGGGACTAGACAAAAGAGGAACTGCCCAGCATGGAACATATGTGTCTGAGCCCATTTCTTCACCTGTTAAGAGGACCTCACAGTCTGGGTGAAGAATGGCTCTGCACAGGCCATGTCCTTTTGCTCTCCGTTACCCCGTACCCTCTCCCTGCAGTCTCCACCTCCTGGAGCTGGGGAGACAAAGCAGGGTCTGTGTTCCCCCAGAGGAGGAGCTGGCCACTGCCCACAAGTGGCTGACTTTTTGTGGCCCCTCTAGCCATGACTGGTACATACTCTTTAATTTAAAACCGTTTTTAAACATTATTTTCTTTCTGATTATGAGTGTTCAATGCTAAAGATAAAGGGAAAAAAAGGAAAGTATAAATGTGTTAATGTAATTTCTCATTGAGTTTACCCATTTTTGTGTATAACTTTTCAGACTTCAGACAATACACTATTGTTTTTAACTTTTAATTATGAAATCTTTTGGATATAAAGGCATACCTTGGAGATATTGTGGGCTCGGGTACAGACCACCACAATAAAATAAATATTACACTACAGTGAGTCACATGATTTTTTTTGGTTTCCCAATACACATAAAAGTTATGTTTACACTATACCATACCATAGTCTATTAAGTGTGTAAAAGCATTATATCTTAAAAAATATACATACAATAATTTTAAAATACCTTATTGCTAAAAAATGTTAACTGTCATCTGAGCCTTCAGTGAGTCATAATCTTTTTGCTGGTGGAGGGTCTTGCCTTCAATTTGTAAAAAAACAGTATCTGTGAAATGCAATAAGGCGAGGTATGCCTGCAAAAACAGACTAGCATAATGAACCCCATGCGCCTATCATCCTGCCTCAACAAGTATCAATTCATGGCCAGCCTTGTTTCATCTACAATCCCACCTTTTCTCCCTTCCCTCTGATTATTTTGAAGGAAATTCCAGACATCATATATTTTCATCTCTAAATATTTCCTTAACTATCTCTAAAAGCTAGGTAATCTTTTTAACAAACATAACTACAATACCATTATCAACCCATAAAAACAGGCAAGAATTCCTTAATATGGGTATCATAAATATATAATCAGAGTTCAAATATCCCTGATTGTGTTATGTTTTTACATTTGTTTTGTTTGATTCCAAGAAGGCACATATGTTGCTTTTGGTTGATGTCTGTTAATNTTTCAAGTAAATAATTTCTCTGAGGAGGGGTCTGTAACTTTCACCAGGCTGCTAACTAATGAGGTTCATTTAGGAAAAAAGTTTAAGAACCCTGAATAAAGAAAATTTCAAAATCCCAAACCTGTCATTTGGCCATGTTGCCACCAGGGGGCGGGACAACAAAAGGAATGTGAGCTCCCAGTGGTGAAGCTCTGAAAGGGAACAGGAATCCCAGAGTCACTCCTTGCCAATCCTGTGCCTGAGAAAAACCGCTGAGTGCCAGAACCAGGAGTAGCCTTAGAGAGCAAGCCCCTAGGATTCTGTGATCTGGGGAACTGAGAAGCAGGCAGGGGCAGATACTGAACAAGGAGGACTCAGGTCCCCTGGTACCCAGTTCTCTTCCTGATTAAGTAGGACTTGACACCACTCTTGTCCTTGACTCCTCCTGCCCTCACCCCACCCTGTTCCCATCTTTCCTTGTTCTAGACGGTGGAGAAGACAGTGGAGCACCTGGAGGCAGAAGTGAAAGGCCTGCTGAGCCAGCTGGAGGAGCTGGCCTGGAACCTGCCCGCTGGGCCTTTTGGCCCCACCCCCGACCTCCTCGGAGATGGTGAGCGGCCGGCCGTGGTGGTAGAGAGGACAGCCTCTGGGGCTGGGCAAACAGGACGGGGACTGGTGCTCCACCGCACGGGTGTAGCCTGGACTAGCCGGGAGAGGCTCCAGCTCCTCCTCGGGACAGAAGTGGGAAGGCATCCTCCCAGCTCACCCCAAATGTTCTGTCCTCACCCCCTTCTCTGGGGTTGCTACAGCCCAGCATCAGTTCAGGGCTCCTGGAAGAGCTGACCCCTCTCATCACCCTAACACAAGGCAGATTCCTCCCCCACTGGCCATTTTCATCCCTCCAAGCTCCTCGGTTCCTTTCACCTCCCTTCCAAGGAACATCGTTGTGCCACCAGACTGGCATCCCTCTGACCCGGCAGTTGGAGGGGTTGCCACCCTGCTCCCTCCTTGAGCTCCGTGTTCCCTGGCATAGGAGTTCCCTGGGGATTGGGAGGGGAGGGCGGAGCGCCTTCGGCAGCCCCGGCTCACTCATTCCGCTTTCTTTCAGATCGTTTTTGAGCACCGGAGCCCGAGTTGCCCAGTATTGGGAAGTGACAAACCTGGTGAACAGCTCTCCTCTGAANGTGTGCATATTAAATGAACAGTAAACAGAGTCATTAAGGTCTTTTTTTTTTTTTCTGGGAGGAAGGCATAGAAAGGAGAAAAAAACCTTTCTGAAAGCCCAAAGCTAAATTACACTTGTTAAATTATACCAGAGGTCCAAATCTCAAAACAGATTTAGTGCCACCATTACAATTCCCCTTATTAGTGCCTTTAATAACCCTTCACAGAATTCCTGAAAATTCAACAACTAGCCCTCCTCTTTCTTAACCCTACATGAATTTTCAGATGATTTTCCTTGTTGTATAGGATGAACAGAGGCCATCAGGTGGGAACACACTCAACTTTTTGGCCCTCTAAGTAGAACTTTTTCACCCATTTTTGCTGTGTCCCCTCTCTCTTCCTTCCATGTGTTGCCCTGAACCCACACCACCCTTTCTGGATGCTGTAGCCTCTCGTCTCTTCAGGAAATGCATTCCTTCAGCTCTCCTGTCTTCTTCCTATCCCTCAGCCTATAAACATGGCTATGTTTCTTCCGTGCTTAAAACAACAGAAACAACACCTTGCGTGTGATCTGATCTCCCTTCCTTCACAGCCATACTTCCTGAAAACATTTTCCAGGATCCAAGTTTCCACCTTCTGACCTCTCTTTGCCTTCTCATGCCACTGCGGTCTAAACTTTCCTTTGCCTCCACCATTCCACTGAAAGTGCTGGGGTGGAATTTAGCAGTCACTTTCCTGTTGCTCTGTTTTTCCATCCTTTGCTGGACCTCCAGGCTGCTTTAGGTCACGCTGACTGCTTCATCTTCTGTAAAGCTCTTTACTTCAGTTTCTGGGACAGTACCCTTCTTCCCAGCTAACTGATGCCCTGCGGGCATCGCAGAGCCACCAACTCTGAAGCCTCAGCTCAGAACTGTTACGATGCAAAGGGTTGGGGCAGCTGGCCTACACAAAGGCCAAAACTCACTGAGGTGAGGTTGGTGGAAAGAAAAGCAGGTTTGTTGCAAAATGCCAGCATTAAGGGGAGACAGTGGACCCCTTGTCACAAAGCCTGCCTTCCTACTCTTAGTACCGCCGAAAGGTTTTATAGGCACACAGGAGAGGCAGAGCAAAGGAAAGGAGAAGTTGACTCCAGGAAGCAAGCACTTCCCAAAGGCTGGTCTGCCCTAGGGACAGGAGTGGATCCCATACAATGCAAAAACTTCCTTCCTGTCACTGGGCCAGGCATGCACACAGCCCGAAGTAAAGAGAACCATGGAAACTGATATGCAAAGTAAATGTATAGTAAACAGAATCTTTATGGTTTGGCACGAGGGGAGGGAAGCAAAGCACAGAAAAACTTTCAGTCCCAAGCCAAACTACGGTGTTAAATTAAATTACACTAGAGGTTTAAATCTCAAAATAGAAGATACAGTGTTACTGTTACAGAACCAGGGCTCTAAGATTTCCAGTGTGAGGGTTGGTGGTGCCAGGAAGAACCAANGCTCATTCTAAAGGTGAAGAAACCAAGGGTCCAGCAACTGGGATTGGCTTAAAAGAGCCCAGAGAGCCGGGTGCCAAGCCCTTTGTGTGCTTGTTGGAGAAGCCCCTGCCAAGCATCACTTGGACCCCTGCATGGGTTTAGCTCTAGAGCAGACGCCTCCCCATCTTGGGGAGAGCTGGTCGGAGTGATCAGGCCAAGAGCACCGGCTCCATGTGGAGAAGGGGAGCCATGTGGGACTTGCACTGACTGGCTCTGTCTTCAGCTCACCTGGTAAATGCCCCTTCATGGCATTTCACATCACTTGGCAGTTCCAAGGCATCTTCAAGTGCAGGATCCCCTCTGATCAACACAGCAGTCCTGCAGAGTAGACAGAGCAGGGCAGACCCCTTGCAGACGAGGAAGCTAGTGAGAGGCAAAGAGGGTAGTCAGTAAGAGTGGAGGTGGGACTGCATCTGACACCCAGCCTTGTGTTGTTTTCGCAGTGCAGAGAGAGAGGCTTATCCTGGATGGCCTCTTAGACCTTCTCAGCACTGCGGAGGTTTTGGAATGTTCTAGTACATTATAACCGAGTGAATTAAAAACATAGTATTCCAAGATAGAAGGAATCTTGGTTTCTGTACGGCCTCGTGGAGCAGAGCTGTCTGCCAGCCCTGGCCAAGCCAGTTTACCTCTGAACTGATACATGGGAAAGAAAGAAATGTGTGTAATTGAGGGGGGCTCTTTGTTACAGCAGCCTCGCTTGTATCCTAAGCAAAATACTAACTTAACCAGACACTGAAGGTCTTGGAATGACATTGCTGAGCTCTCAGAGTGATTGGCAAGGCTCAGATCCCCATCTGGAAAACGAACAGAGACCAAGGGAGCAGGACATGTCTCTCCCAAAACAAAACAAAACAAAACAAAACAAAACAAAACAAAACAAAACAAAACAAAAATGTTCCTCGGAATCTGAGCTGTCTCTTTGGGGGCCTGAGGGTCCTTCTCCTGTTTCAGCCAGAGCAGTTCTACAGATTGGAGCTCTTCCCATAACTGTTTGAAAATAATATTCTTCTGCTTAAAAAAATGTTTAAAAACCACTGATGGTTTTGAATGAATCACAAATTGTAATACAAATATTGAATGTGGTAAAATTTATTATTCTATTATATTGAATGTGGTCAAATATAATTAACCCCCAAGTGACAAGAGTTGCTGGTCAAAGCAGAGTGCTTTTGATGATTCAGGAGGCCCACTAGCACCTTTCAGGGTCACCAGAGGGTATTTGTCATCACCTAGCATGACAGAAATCATTTGAGTTGTGGGTGCTTTCTTAGTGTTTGAGTCCCAGATACGAAGGGTTTCCTCTGCTTGTAAGTGAGAGTGGGCCGTACTTCCTGTCTCTGAGGGGAACCCAGTGGCCATGTCTCTTTAACTGGGAAAGTGAGCCCAGTGCCTCCCCCTGGGCCTCTGGCCTCCACTGGCAGCCTGTTCTCACCAGCACACAACGTTCCACCCCTGGCCACCATCCAGGGTGCAGAAAGGCCCTGAGTGGGAGCCAGGCCAGAGAAAACAATCCGGCATCCAAACAAGTCCATTTCCCAACTGGCTCGGGCAGGGAGGGAAAGAACGAAGGGAGGAAGGGAAGACTGGGGAACCACAGCCTTGGCTGCTCGAAGCTGGTCATGGTAATCCTTCAGCCTTCCCCACTCCTCTTGTTTGCGCTTCCTAAGCCCCATGAAACAGGTGTTATCATGAGCTTCTTTCTACTGATGAAGAACCTGAGGCACCAAGGCTTGTGTGTGTGATACGTGCACAAGCTCAAGAAAAAGAAAAAGGCAGGCACCCAGGTCTCGCCTTGGTGGAGCTTCTGGTCCAGGAAACAACTTGTCCTTGACTCATCCCACTTCTGTCCTTGTAGTTAATTTTTGAGGTCTCTCGGCAGGCTCTGAAAGACAGAGCAGCATTGTGGACGAGCTGTGTGTGGGCGGCCATGCCTCAGGTGTAGGCCTACCCCACCCAGTTACACAGGAGGCAGCAGAACGTGTCCACAGGCCCACACCAGTTCATGGCTGAGCTGGGCTGAGAACGGGGCTGTCCATTGTGTTTTCTGCCACCATGCATTGGGGTCAATGCTGTGGGAACCCGTGTGGGGAAGGGAGCAGCAGTGCGGAGCCCTGGCCCTGGCTCTGCCCCAGCTTTTTCAGATGAGCTGGTGGGGAGGCTTGGATGAGCTCACGGACAGTGGGGCGGTGGGGCCCAGGGCGCAGTTCTATCCAGATGTGAGAGATTAGCGCTGTGTGATGTGGAGAGCAACCTCAGCCCAGCCTTTTCCCTGGAGGGGCTTTGGAGCCAAGTTAGACCTCATAACAGACACGTAAAGAACAGTATGTTTTAGGCCAATGGGGGGAGCAGATTCATGTTGTTCGTGACTTACAAAGCTGGCAGATCCGCACTTGGCTGATAGGGTCACAGTGCTTCCTCTTGGCCTAAGATAGGAGGAGCGGGAGGGGGTAAGAGTTGGTTAGGGCCTGGGAAAGGGCAGGTGAGGCTCAGAAGAAAAATTTGGCCAAAGGCCCCTGGGAAAAGCCTGCAGACCCACACTGGAACAGCTACTTCTTCTCTGACAGCCCGCCCTGTGAGTGAGAATAGCTCTACCTGCCCCCCTCGAAGTTTCTCCTCTCCAGGCTGAGCACCCCAGTTCTTTCAGCTGAGACAAATGGATCGAAATTCGGAGTCCCTTCACCCTGGCCATCTCTAGACCTGCTCAGCCTATCAAAGGCCTTCTCAGGACACATGGCCCAGATTGAAGCACAGCCCTCCAGGTGGGGTCTCTCAGACCACCCTCTCCCTTGTTCTGAACATTTTACATTAATGCATGCAGCCCACAATGGCTTTGGCTTTTTACTAACAACCCATCAGACACCTGGCTTTTATTATGGAAAATTTTAAACCACATACACAAAAGTAGAGAGAAGAGTGCAACGAACTCCCATGTCCCCATCACCCAATTTCAACAATTACTAATCTTGGCCATTCTTGTTTACTCTGTACTCCCATCCATGCCTCCTCCCACTCCCAGCTCTGGATTATTTAAAAGTAAATCCCAAGACATGATAGCATTTCATCTGTAAATATTTCAGTATGGATCTCTAAAAGACTCTCAAGGCACCATTATAACATCCTCCTCTTTCCCCAGTCAACATGAAGACCATTGTCTATTGAAGAGGTTTTTGTAAGTTCAGTGGTGGGGAATAATGAAATGGAGAATGTAAAACACAAATTGTTCTCCACAAAAGATGTTCAGAATAGAAAGAAGTTTTGTCTCTGCTCTTGGTTCTCGGCCCTGAGTGGAGGAGCTGGGATCCAGACAGAGTCAGAACCAGAGAATCTCAAGGCAGGGGGACTCCAGCAGAGCTCCAGAGGAAGGGGTCAACCAGCTGAAGCGGGGTCAGGAGAAGGCCAGGGTGTTTGGGGTCCAGTCATTTGCTGATTGTGTGACCTTGAGCAGGTCACTCAATCTCTCAGTGACACATTCATCACCAGCAAAACGGCTCATCATCTTCCCTACCTCAAGCCCTGCCTACCTTCTGGGCAACTGTTAATGTCCTCTTGGGTAACCCAACTAACACCAAGGCCTTACAGTTACAAGAGTTTGTGCCTTGAGCGATCAAGTCCAGTAACTTAAACCTCCTCTGCTTCAGACGGCCACAACCTTGATATTGCCACTATGAAGCTGCTCCACCTCTAAAAGCTGAAGTTTCAGCACCCCTTACCACTTGTGCCTTCTGCTCGTCTCATCATCACATCAAGTCCTCCAGTCTCTCAGCCCCTCCATTTCCCCCAATTTACTGTCCCTCTTATTGGCCCCCTTATCCAAGCTAGACTCCAGAGCTCACCCCCTGAATCGCTTGCTGGTCAAATCTTCAATTCATTTGCTCTCTTACCCTCCACCACATTCATCCTGCAGACTCCCGGGTTTCAGCTCCGTCAGCCATCTGTCTTTGCTGCTCCACACCCAACCTGCTGAGCAGCTGGGGGAGGACTGGTGCTTCCAACGTTCCTCATTGATGCTGGGTCCTCCTGCACTGTCTCCTCGTCCTCCTCATCCCCTTTGGGAGCCCTGTCTTTATTGAAGCCCCCTACTCAGTGGTGTGCTGATGCACTGGCTCTAAACAAAAGGAAAAGAAAAAAAAACAAAACAACATTTGCCAACCTTCGTGGTGTAAGTGTTCTCACCATCACTCCCATTTCACTGGCTGTTGTGGCTGCTCGCCTGAGGGTTGTGAAAGGATTCATGAGACAGGTAGAAATACAGAAGGAAGATTTCTTAAAGTAGGAGGAAGGTCAGCTGGGCAGAGTCTGCTGGAAACTACTGCACTGAGTCTTTGTTTCATCTGAAGTTTTATATTTTCCAACCAGGATGTAAATTGCTTCGACCTGTAGTGGAGTTTTCAGTTGTTTGGCTTTGTCCATTGGGGTGCAGGAAGGTGCAGGTTAAACTGGTTATCAGAACCTTTGCATCTGTTATGTAGATTTAAGTTGGAGCTAGGAATGGATCCCATACAGATGCAAAACCGCTCCCCAGTCACAGGGCCTACTGGCCAAAGTAAACAGAACCATTGAAATTGGTATGCAAAAAATATAATTCCCCTTGAAAGGAAAAAAATAAAAGAAAAATAAATTGGTGTGCATATTAAATGAA